GTTCGAATTCAAATTTACTACGGACCAGAGTGCAAAGTCGTACCGGTAAAATCACATAAATTTGACCTTCTTCTCCTGTCTAGTTTTCTCTGAGAGATGTTGTCATTCGGATCGTACTTTCAGGATTATACCATGTTATTCGTAATCTTTAAATAATTTCAGGATTACCCTGTTATTCCACCTTTAAGCACTAAATAATTTTAGATATTGAAAATTTTAAATTTTATTTTAAATATTTTAGATATATTTTTCTGTATAAATCACGTGGATAAGCATTAACTAAATATGAAATTTATATAAGAATTAATTGTTATATAAAATTTTAGAGAAAAAAAGAAGATGAGCTATTTAATAGAGAAATAGATAATGTGACATATAGATAGATAGATAATCAGATAAATAGATAGATATGATGGATAGAGAAGATATTGTTTATATAACTCTATATACTAGAAATATATAAATATATTCCCCGGTATAGAACCATGATATTGTTTATATATCTCTATATACTAGAAATATCTAAATATATACCCCGGTATAAAACCATGGTATTGTTTATATATCTCTATATACTAGAAATATCTAAATATATTCCCCGGTATAGAACCATGGTATTGTTTATATATCTCTATATACTAGAAATGTCTAAATATATTCCCCGGTATAAAACCATGATATTGTTTATATATCTCTCTATACTAGAAATATCTAAATATATTCCCCGGTATAAAACCATGGTATTGAATCTACGAGAGATCCATTTCAGTTTACTCATGTCCGCCGATACTACCAGACCTCTCAGAATATATACACTAATAGAACCCCACCAATACTAGCTCTCAGAATATATACACTAATAGAACACCACCAATACTAGTTCTCAGAATATATACAGTAATAGAACTCCACCAATACTAGTTCTCAGAACATATAAAATAATAGAACTCCACCAATACTAGCTCTCAGAATATATACACTAATAGAACTCCACAAATACTAGTTCTCAGAATATATACACTAATAGAACTCCACCAATACTAGTTATCAGAATATATA